CATGTTAACGTTCTTTGTGTTCCTCAAAAAATTTAAAATTTGACTGAAATATGCTATGGAATTTTAAATTATCGGCCGGTTTCTTAATTTCAAAAAAGTACAAAATCTTAATTGTTTGTTACTGGTATCATTAATTTGAGTTTTTTTTTACATTTCACACGGCAAAAAGTCCTAGTTTTAAGAACTGATCATTAAAAACTGAAATCAGATACAAAAATGCTTAGCTTTAAATTCTCAATTCAGAAACTGGGTGTTAATATAATTAATGGGTAGTACAATGAGTGTTAAAAACGTGTTTACGCGACAGTTATCAAGTAAAAGTTATGTACGCTACTTGACTAACTTAATAGTATACTTACTGCATTGTTACCGTCCTCTCCTTTGTAGCATTGATCTTGACATTAAGCTCTTATTATTGTTGTTGTAATGCGGATCTGTAGGTCAATTATACCGCTTCTCGTCATTAAGACAATAACAGCTTTAAAATGTCATGGCGTATTATTTATGTCACTTATCGAATATCCCTTATCTATTATATTATTAGCGCCACCTTGCTAAGTATCGTTACATAAATAATCGCTCTCTAATTTGTAAAACTCAGTTCTATTTTACCCTACAGGATTATCTCATTTGTGATTTTATCTGTCAGAATATCAATTACACGCGAATAGCTGTTCGGTTCCCGTTTGATCTTTTACTCTGAGGTGAATTTTAAGGAACTATCTTGACTTAATTTTTGACAATTTCTTCTTCTTAGTTCTTAATCTTGATTGACTCAATCACTTATAATATCTTCTTCTCGTTCTTATTATTATTTAAATGATTATTTTTGTTTATTAAATTTACTGTAAACGAGTATGTGAGTGAGTGCAAATAATATTCTTAACCTTCCTCTTTGCTTAATTATATAATAAGTTTTATTACAATCTTACCTACAGTTTATCTAGACAGGAACATTTCTTTAGCAATGAGTCTGAAAACTGCCTTTGAAGTGTAACTCGTTGAATAAACCTAAGTATAAAAATCTTTATTCAGCTTACTTAGTAGCATTGATCTTGACATTAAACTCGTATTATTATTGTAGTGATGTGGATCTGTAGGTCAATTATATATTTTAAGACAATAAAGAATGTCTGAATGTCATGGAGCATTGTTGATGTCAGTTGTCAGTTTCATTTTGCAGTGTTCTTTTGTAACAAATATACCTACATATATTTTTTCTATGTTTCTATTTGGGAACTGACAAGAATTATTTTTATAAAGAATTAGGAGACCTAAGATATAGCACAAGCGTTTTCATACACTATATTCGCCAATTTTATCAATCAATGAGATTATCGACTTGTGAATGAGATAATGTATCAAATAGAGGCGCTATAAAGAATACTAACAGGAAAAATTGCCTAAATTGATACACTCTTATTTCGATCGAACACCTTATAGTAACTTTGGAAATTTCGGTCCTTTTTTATTTTAACGCGCTTGTAGCCCCTCTGGTGTAATCACTTACCATCAGATGATTCGTCTGTACGTCTGCCCCCTATCCCATAAAAGACATGGTTTTTGTGAATAATGTTACTTCTGTTAGGAGTGTTCAGTTTCTTCTTGGTTCTTCTTAGTAGGTAAAAATGTTAGACGATTCAAAAGTACTTCATCTAAATATAATAGAATAAAAATATTTTGACTTTGACAAGACGTCTGATATTTCTAAGTTCTCTAATATATACTGTTCTCAGTTCTCAATAAAATAAATGTTAATTAAATAGATATAATTTTCATAAAACATGGTCTACGCAATTTTATGATTAGGGTTTCTAATCGTTTAAATAAATATGAAAGAAAAAAGTCTTTTTTAGTATTATATTATGAAAGATTGGCGCTACCCTATACTTATCAGTATTATTATTCACGATTTTTAAAGTGTGATTTCAAAATTGATACGATATTTATGTTTATTATCCAGTGTTGACATTGAACATTGTTGTTTTGTTGTTTTTAAGCAATTATGTAAATATACTTAGCAGTTATCCAAGGTTGCTATCGAGCGGAAGATTATATTTTCAACATTGTAAACTGTTCAAACATCGTGTAATGTTAATATTATGTGCGATGCGATCATTGCCAATTCACCAGTGCTTGCAAATATACTAAATCTAGTATAAATACGACTGCAATAACTATTAACTCATGAACAGTAATGTTTTAACACTGTGTGATGGCTTTGGTAAACTTTGTAAATGCAAATCATGGAATTTGTTTATTAAATAACTCTTATTCATCTGTATGGGTTTTGGAATTGTTTTGCTAGAATATTCATAGAAATTTATCATCTACCGAATAGGTTCGTTGGCGGAGAAGAGACCCACACACCGCTTATCGCCGCGTCAGACGATAGGGACAGGGCGTAATGCATATTTCTTCGGTTAATAAAGAAGGCAGGATTGTTTATACCATCACAAAGGTAAAGAACTCGAGAACCCCTTAATTTTTGAGCATAGGTTTCCGGCGCCCTACTCTTGTTTCTTCAACAGCGATATTTCCGATAATTTCGAAATTTGTTTTTGTAGAATTTGTATAATTTTGCGGTATATCCGCGTCGATGCCGTGCTGTAAATACTAAAAAAAAGCTTTAATGTAGCCGTAATGACGATTCGAAATTAACGTAATTTTGTTTTCGAAAAAACAGTGTAGCCAAGGACATGATAGTCGAGCTGCAGGCCGTTATCGTCAACAAACGTCGCGTGACTGTATAGAGCGCAAAAAAAAAATATCCGCCGATCGATTTCCAAATCGCGCGTGTGAAATCTTATCGCCTTATACGTCACATTCAATTTCTACGACGCACGACGTCGGTGTCTTTGAACGTCTCCTGAATTGCCAAGATGTTGCGAGATGTTGAAAATGTGCTTTTCACGCGGAAAATGTATCGATTCAATTTCGCTATGAAAACTGGATGTGTTTACTTTAGTTAATTATAGAAATGTAATGACGTTTTGCACAAGCATTTTAATTTGCTACAGGATATTGGGCTGCGTAAAATAGGAAAATTGTAGTCTCTCTTTTATAATAATAAAAAAAATGACTTTGATATATTCATGAATCAAAAGTAATTTAGTGGAAAATCCGCACTCAACGAGAAACGAATATTCCAATATATTTTTACTCATTCTTTCATTCATCTCGACTATCAGAGAGAGTTGTTATTGTTCTAATTTCACTATTTTATTATATTTATCAATGGAAATGGTTATATTGTTCTATAATGAAAATGTTCACTCTCATTACGTAATTTGAGTAGTGTATCGAAGTATAAAGTTTTATTTTATTAGTTTGTATATATAAATAAGGTAAACTCAAGAGAAACTCTCAATGACGGCAAACCTTATAGCGCATGGATGGAGATGAATGACAATTATCTATGACTAACAGTCCTCTTCTGTTCATCTTTATTCAAGATAATTGTTTTAGGATTTAATAATCGATGCTTTTATAAGGCAAATAATGTCCGTCTTAGGCGAGCTAGAGTTAGGAGTTCGTTCTTCAATAATTACCATTAAAACCTCAAAATATTATATTGTATCATAAACATTTCACACAATTCTAGTCTCCAAATTTAAATACATATATCATTTAAGTGATTTTAACTCACGATTCTTCCTTATTAATGAACATTATCATTTGATGAAGCAACGTATGAATCCGACGTTGACGTCATTCTATACGAGCATCCTCTCCGACGTGACTTCACCGCTGTTAGAACAGAATTATTTCAACTCTAATTATTGGAATTCATTGATTAGATTCTTGTATAGATAACTTCGCGAACGTGGTTTGTTGTCGATGGTTTAACGCTTATAATAATCGGTGCGAGATTCAACAGATATGAGGAAGTAGTTAAGCATTTTTTTTGTAGGGTTCCGTTTGTTATATAGAAAAGAACGGAACCTTTTTATCATCAGTACCGTGTCGCTCTGTCCTTCGCTTTATCTATCGATCTTCTAATTTAAATAACACAACAAATATGTAATAAAGACGTGAATAATATTCCAATATCTGTACCACATTCGTCACATTTGCAATGGTATATTATTGATAGATACAGACAAATCATTTGAACGCTCTCGCAAAGCTCAAGGTAGATTTATCAGATTAACATCACTTCAAGAGTTATTACGATTTCATAGAAATGGTATTAAAAATTAATTAACATTCGTGGAATATTGTTCTTTTTCCTATTTATAATTTATGACACGGACTCGATTGTACCAATATCTACATTTAGATTTTTGAAAGTAAATAATTGTTGCCTCTAAATTCATATATATTTTTTAAGAAGATATAATCTGTTCTCGCTATTTGTTTTTCTTAGGGAAATTTTGTACGGCAAGAATAGAGTAGACAAATCAATAGTGTGATGATAGGAAGATAATCCATCGCTGGTTTGAAAGTCAGTCAGCAGTAAGCGATACTTGGTTTTCATAGGAATTCTGTGATTGTATATAGACAACATGGACCGTGCTGATATTAAATTGAACTATCCACTCAGGTTATTTCAATCAAACCCCGTAGTCTGTAACTCTTAGAATAACCGAAATAAATAGTTGACAGAGCTCTTTGGGCAAGCGGTCATACAAATTAGTGATGTTGACACATTGTAATTGTTCACTTTTTATGGTGATATGTGGGACTCTCCCCTGGGGACCCATTCCAGACTGGGGCTAATCAAATAGCAGAGGTATACTCACTAAAACTCAGCGATTTCCCTCCCATGGAGGCGATGCACGGGGACAAACGCTCCTATTTCGGCCCACCTCTTAGGAGGTGGGTCTCTCTGCGGGTCCCTAAACAGGGTAGGGGCGTGCAATGACCGACTAGCTCGCAAACTAGCCGGACTGCCCCCGACTAAAGACTTCCTTACCCGTCATAACCCTTGTTATGGATCCCCCAATCCTCCGTTCTCTTTATGAAATATTACTGAACATATTCTGTTGTTGTTGCAGAGGGGCGGTGTGTGAGTGTCGCACCGCCATGTCGCATCACAGCGATGAACAGGCGCTGCTCACCGTCGCCTCGGACTCATTCTGGGAGCCAGGCAATTACAAAAGGACCACAAGACGTGTAGACGACGGCCATCGGTTGTGCAGTGAACTCCAAACCCTCGTGCAGGAGCGAGCAGACATAGAGAAGACATATGCGAAAAGCTTACGAGGCTGGGCAAAAAAGTGGAACGATCTTATAGAGAAAGGTTGGTACATGTATTAATAATATGCCACATTTTGTCTGGGGAAAAATATGAGAGAGCTTAGATAGATCTGAAAAAAAAATGCATGAATGGCGGTGAGACTACCAATTGCGTGGGTTTATATATATGCGTATCATTGCAGTAATGCTTCTGTAACGAAAAAACAGTAAGGGTGCCATTTACTATGGTCATGGTTTTTATATTCATTAATAAAGAGACATGTGAAATTGATCAATATTATAAAATAATAAATTTAAATAATTAGTATTTTGTGCGGTTCTTCCGTTGAAGGACATCCTGTCCTTTTCTTTCCTTGCCCCTCCCATATCTCCGTCCTTGTCACTCGCGAAATACGTTCGCCGCAAGGGCGCGCTGATAGAAAAAGTCGGTTCCGGTTTTGGATGTATTCGACGTAGAAGTTTTTCGCGAGTGCTCCGAATTGAAAATTAATATAGGCGACATTACTGCCTCGGAACTCATATATAAACCTGTGAAGTATCTATTATACATGTGTAACAAATAAAGGTGCTGTGTTTGTGGCCACAAAAAACTCAAGTGCAAGTGAAAACCGCTGACCGGCGTGGACTCGCCAACCATATTATATCGAAGGACAGTTATTAAAATTATATTGGTGAGTTTCCATTCCCATTTCTCATCCCCTTCTCGAACCAGCGCGAACATAATTATTTGGTCACTTCGGCCACGGATAGTTTTGTAAATTCATTACACGTTTATTTCAACAGACGCCATTTTGTTTGTTCAAAATAATATTGCAGCGGTTTCACTTGTCTCTGTTCCTATTATAATTGTCATCGGTCAATAAATAATTATTTACACTTCACCATGGCTACTGCAGCCGACCCTAAATGTCAATTTTTCAGATCTTTGCGTAGATTAGAAATTAAAATGAATACCATTTTTGCTCGAATGCAACGTATTTATGATAATATGTCTACCTTAGACTCTCCTGATCGCGTGGATACATTTTTATCTACTGCTAGTACGATCGACATTATTCGATCGGACTTTTTACGAACATTAGACGAGCGTAATGAATTGTTGTCGTCAAAGGCGGACGCTGGAGATCCCAATTACGAATCCATGCTTGCTTTTGAAGATCTTTATGCGCGAGTTAAATTTAAATACTCACAGTTATCATCACCGTCTAATACCTGCGAGGCGAAAATACTGTCTCCGGTTAAACAAGGCCCGAAATTACCGAGGCTTGAGTTGGTTTCTTTTAACGGCGAGTTAGAGAACTGGCCTATATTTTATGAAACATTTAAAAATACTATTCATGATAATAACACTTTAAATGATTACGAAAAGATTCAATATTTATTAGGTAAATTGACAGGAAAAGCACAAACTATTTGTCAGGGATTTATGCCTACTTCAGAGAACTATTCTGTGTTGTGGAATACATTAGTAAATAAATACAACGATAAACGCGTCTTAGCCGCGACTTATCTTGATAAATTAATGAACTTAACTTCAGTTAAAGATGACTGTTCCAATACTTTAGCGGACTTCATTGACCAGTATTCATCATTAGTAAACTCATTAAAACAACTTAATATGGATAGTTTAGAAGACTTCATTTTTATACACCTTGGATCGAAAAAGCTCAATTTAGATATTTTAAAATCATTTGAAATACAACACAGCAACTCTGATAAGCTACCTACTTGTTCCCAATTTATTAATTTTGTACGGAACCATTCACATATTTTGCAACGCGTGAATAATACAGTAGAAGCAAAACCATCTACTTCAAAATTGCAATCTGTTTCAAAAAATAGTCGAAATTTAACTTCACGGTCTTTTAATACATATGATAAAAATAATAAGATGTTTGTTGTTAACGAACAAAATGCTTGCATATGTTGTGGTAACAAAGATCATTCTCAGTTGCGGTTCTGTAAAAAATTTATTTCCTTGACGCCTTCGGAACGTTTTAATATTATTAAATTAAATAAAGCTTGTGTGAATTGTCTTAGCCCGTCACATTTGATACGCCAATGTAATTCAAAGGCTACCTGTGCTCAATGTTCACGTAGTCATCATACTTTATTGCATTTTATCACCAATACTGACACGCAAGTTCAACGCCCGAATAACGTAGGTACTACGAAAACAGCTGTTTTACTTCAACCACCCGCGTTGAACAATACATCGACAGCGCGCGATTCGCGCTCGGTATCGTTATGCACGACGATGTTGCAACAAAATTCCGTCGTCGGCGCCACTGCCGCGCGTAGCGGGAGCGACTTGGACTCGCGCATGCGAACGGTGCTTTTAGGTACTGCGCGATGCAATGTTGTAGACGATTGCGGTAATATTCACGGCGTTCGCGTTTTAGTTGATAGTGCATCACAGCGAGATTTAATTACTTTAAATTGTTGTAAAAAATTGAATTTAAAATTACATCCTTCTCCAACTAAATACGTATGCGGAGTAGGTAATATGAATAATCCTATTGAAGGGTTTACTTGCTTAACATTATGTTCTACTTTGGACAATTCTGTTTGTTTTTCTATTAAGCCGCTAGTGGCTCACCGTATTACAAGTGAGTTACCTTCCGTGAAGATAGATCGCGAATGTTTGGATTATTTGAAGGACATTCCGTTAGCAGATCCGACTTATTCGGAACCTGGCGCGATCGACTTGATAGTCGGTTCGGACATTTTCGCTCGTATTGTACGACCGAATGTTATAGCTCGCGAATTGAATGAACCCGTAGCTATAGAAACTTCGCTTGGATTTATTGTTTACGGTCAAGCCCCGGTATTTAATACTGAGTCAGACGTGCACACTTATTGCACATTAGATTATAACTTTTCGTTAAAAGATTCGATAAATCGGTTTTTTGAGTTAGAGGACGTGCCTACAGCCAACTTGCTAAGTTCAGATGAAAGGGATTGCGACGAATTTTATTCTCAGACTACGTTACGTGATCAGAGCGGTCGGTACATCGTTTCGCTACCGTTTAAAAAGGATCCCTCTAAATTAGGTGATTCACTACAATTAGCCGTGCGTAGGTTTTTATCGTTGGAGCGGAGATTAGCGTCTAATGATGATATTCGCCACCAATACAATGAGGTCTTTTTGGATTATTTGAAAAAAGGATACTTGGTTCCGTTCAACGGTGACTTAAAGTTTGATTCTTATTACGTTATTCCGCATCATGCTGTCATACGGCCCGACAAAAGTACAACTAAACTGCGCGTAGTCTTGGACGCAAGTATGAAAACGTCGTCAGGGTTGTCACTTAATGATTTATTACACGTTGGTCCCAACTTACAAAATGATTTGTTTAAAATAATGTTGAATTTTAGATTATTTCCTGTAGCTATTAGCGCTGATATTAGACAGATGTATTTACAAATATGGGTACAACCTGATGATTGGCGATTCCAAATGGTATTATTTCGCGATGATCGCAGTCATTCGCTTCAATTATATCAGATGACTAGAGTTCCATTCGGTTTATGTGCGAGTCCTTATCTTGCTATTCGAACGGTCCGTCAATTGATTAAAGACGAAGGTTCGAATTTTCAAGTCGCGGCTTCTGTTGCTGAACGCGATATCTACATGGACGATCTGGTTACGTCTTGTAGTTCTCCTTCGATGGGTATCGAGCTGTCACAACAGCTAATGGAAATGTTCCATGCTGGGGGGTTTGATCTTGTAAAGTTTTCTAGTAATTCTTCCGAAGTAATGAAAAATATACCTTCAGACGCTCGTGTTTCCGCCGATATTGAATTCGGCCCTGATGATTCTTTTAAAATTCTAGGGCTTCGCTGGCTACCAGGTGAAGACATATTTATGTTCACTGTGAACGAACGTAAGTGTGAATGCACTAAACGTAACATTCTTTCTACTATTGCCCGTTTATGGGACATTATGGGATTCGTTGCCCCAGTTACATTATTAGCGAAATTAATTGTCCGTTCGTTATGGACCGATCAGATTGATTGGGATGAAAAACCACCACAGCATATAATATCACTGTGGAGTCAAATTGAATTAGAATTACCTTTATTAGGGAATATTAAAATACCGCGATACGTTGGTTACAACCCTGAGTGCTTAGTATCCGTGATCGGATTCGCCGATGCTTCCGAAAAGGCGTATGGGGCGGTTGTATACCTACATATATATTTTCCTGGTGAAAATAAATATTTAATTAATTTAATATGTGCGAAGTCGCGTGTAGCGCCAGTGCGTAATGTTACGTTGGCTCGTTTGGAGCTTTGTGGTAACTTAATTTTGGCAAAATTAATGCGGATTGTCATTGATACGTATTCCGAACGTATAAAAATAAATAATATTTTTGCATTTACCGATAGTCAGGTTGCATTAGCCTGGATTGAGGCGCCTTCTTCTCGTTGGCAGACTTTTGTGGCGAACAGGGTTGCCAAAATTCAGGAGTTATTGGATCCTAGTAATTTTTATTTTATCCCGGGTAAAGAAAATCCAGCGGACTGTCTTTCGCGTGGTTTAACACCTGCACAGTTAAGCGATCATCCGCTTTGGTTTCCCGGCCCTAGTTTCGCACGTTTGCCTAGTGCACAATGGCCGATTTCTAAATTAGACGTAGCCACGATTGGTGACGTCCCGGAACAGAAAGCTAGCGTTTTAGTTTCTGTAGCTGAAAAAGAGCCTCCTATGTTATGTAAGCTCGCTTTAAGAATTTCTTCATGGCCGAAATTGCTTCGCGTCGTAATTTATATATTGAGATTTATTAAAAAACTCCCTAAAATATTCGATCCATCTCACTTTGAAGTGGCCGAATCATTAGTTCTTAAAGATTTACAACTTGCTTATTTTAGTACTGAATTTGATAAATTTAATTCCAATAAACCTTTATCACCGGCTTTTCTAAAATTAAAGGCTTTTGTTAGTGATGGTTTGTTTCGAGTTGGCGGCCGTTTGAATAACGCTGACTTGCCTTATGACAGTCAACATCCAATATTGTTGCCCTCGCGTGATCATATTGT